TTGTCTACTCTGATTTTCCCCAGAATACAAGAATTATTAGACTTTCAATGTTCTTCCCTTACTCAAATCTTCAAGGGGGTCCATAGTATGTCCATTGGACTCAAGTCTTAAGGCAAGGAATGCAGTCAAAAACCAAAAGTCTAAAATATTTTATTTTACTTACTCAAAGGATGGTATATTTAAATACCAGAGTGACCAAAGGAAAAAGAGACAGAAAGAACATGTATGTTAGAGAGAGACAGATCTTTTCACTGATTCACTTCCCTTATGGCCACAAGGAGCCAGGTCCTGACTCCACCTGGGTGCCACACCTGGACAAAAGAGGCCTAAGTACTTGGATCATCATCTGCTGTTCTGGAGGGAACATTAACAAGGAGCTGAACTGTGAGCAGAACAGCCAGGAATGGCACTGGTGCTCCAGTACAGAATGCCAACATCACAAGCAGCTACTTGATACACTGCATCATAGCATATAATATAATTATTTGCCAAAATCATTATCACATATTAAGACATACCACTTAATAAAATACAAATCCACTTAAATTGACATAGAATTTACAAGAGCATTCTATTACTATGCAATTCCCAAGGGCTACAAAATTTTTGTTTACTTTATTCTTATGAGGCAAATTTACAGAGAGAAGGAGAGACAAAAACCTTCCATTTGCTGGTTCAATTCCCAGTGCCTGCAATGGCCAGAGCTGAGTTGATCCAATTCAAAGCCACAGCCAGGAGCTTCTTTCAGGTTTCCCATGTGGGTGCAGGGTCCCAAGGCTTTGGACCATCCTCAACTGCTTTCCCAGGCCCAAGCAGGGAGCCGGATGGGAAGCAGAGCAGCCAAGATAAGAAGCAACAACCATACAGGATCTCAGGGCATGCAAGCCAAGGACTTTAATCACTAGTCTACTATGCCAGACCCACAAAAAATTTTTCTTCAAAATTGTTCCAAAGGGCTTGGGGCAATGCCTAATCCTTACCTTGCAAGAACCAGGATCCAATTTCGGTGCTAGTTAGTGTCCTGGTTGTTTTGCTTCCCATCCAGCTCCCTGCTTGTGGCCTGGGAAGACAATAGATGATGGTCCAAAGAAAGCCTTGGGACCCTGCACCCATACTGGAGAACCAAAGCAGGTCAGATTGGCTCAGCTCCAACCATTGCATGCTCTTTGGGGGGTGAACCAGCAGATGGAAAATCTTTTTCTCTGTCTCTCCTAATCTCTATAAATTTTCCTTTCCAATGACAATAAATAAACCTTAAAAAAAAAAAAAGGCTTCTTTAATTTAAAGATTTATACTTTAAAAACAATTACCAGATCCAGCATGGTGGCCTAGCGGCTAAAGTCCTCGCCTTGAACGCCCCGGGATCCCATATGGGCGCCAGTTCTAATGCCGGCGGCCCCACTTCCCATCCAGCTCCCTGCTTGTGGCATGGGAAAGCAGTCGAGAACGGCACAAAGCTTTGGGACCCTGCACTTGCGTGTGGCAGACCTGGAAGAGGTTCCTGATTCCTGGCTTTGGATTGGCGCAGTACCGGCCTTTGCGGCTCACTTGGGGAGTGAATCATTGGATGGAAGATTTTCCTCTCTGTCTCTCCTCCTCTCTGTATATCTGACTTTGTAATAAAAAATGAATAAATATTTATAAATAAATAAATAAAAATAAAAACAATTACCATGGGCCAAGCCACATGGCCTGGCAGCTAGGCTCCTAGCCTTGAACGCACTGAGATCCCATATGGGCACCAGTTCTAATCCCTGCAGTTCCACTTCCCATCCAGCTCCCTGCTTGTGGCATGGGAAGGCCGTGGAGGATGGCCCAATGCTTTGGAACCCTGCACCTGTGTGGGAGACCCGGACAGAAGTTCCAGGCTTCTGTCTTCGGATTGGCACAGTACCGGTCGTTGTGGTCACTTGGGGAGTGAATCATCAGAAGATCTTCCTCTCTGTCTCTTCCACTCCATATATCTGACTTTGTAATAAAAATAAGTAAATCTTTAAAAAAAAACTGCCTTGATTTTCTGAAGTTACATTAAATTATTTGGATCCAAAGCCTGTATCAAGAAAACTATCCAGGGCCCAGCGTGGTGGCCTAACAGCTAATGTCCTTACCTTGAATGTGCCAGGATCCCATATGGGTGCTGGTTTTAATTATGGCGGCTCTGCTTCCCATCCAGCTCCCAGCTTGTTGCCTGGGAAAGCAGTCAAGGATGGACTAAAGTCTGGGGACCCTGCACATACATGGGAGACCCGGAAGAGCTCCTGGATCCTGACTTTGTATAGGCGCAACACCAGCCATTGGTGGTCACTTGGAGAGTGAATCTTCGGACAGAATAGCTCCCTCTCAGTCTCTCCTCCTCTCTGTGTATCTGACTTTGCAATAAAAAAATGTATCAAATCTTTTTTTAAAAAAAGAAAGCTATCCAACTATATAAAGCTTAAAGAATCAAATTAGACTGTACGAGGCATCTTAAATTATTTGAAAGTACATTAACATTTCTGCTATTCCCCCTTTAAAAAGCTATATTTAACCATCAGTGAGGGAAATACAGACAACTTAATCATGATTTGGTAAGATCACTTACATTTATGAATTTCATCAACATTTATAGAGCTTAATCATTTCAACTGGTAAACAGTGAACAATTCCACGCCAGGATGGAACCAAAATGTACGATTTCCAGATATTGAACAGAGAAAAACGACAGACAGTATAACTGGAGGTTGGGGAGTTTAGAATGAATGATCTTAATGGGTACAGGACAACCGGACTAGGCCACAGCACTAACTGGCAAGTGCTGGGACTGGGTGGAAGTCATGTCAGGCTGGGCTGCAGTATTCCCGCCTCCCCACCCCCGAGCAGGCACAAGACCCAGAACAGGGAGCAGTCCTGGTAAGGGAACTGTGGACACTCCCCTGATATGCTACAATTCCCACTTATGAGCAAAAGAGCCAGCAGTGGGGGTGGCCATGCTGGTCAACGTGGCAGCTCCACTGACACACTTGAGGGCCAGGTTTGGGGGCAGGTGGAGTTGAGCTAAGCTGAAGCACTCACTGCTGTGTACCAGAGCCAGATGGGATGCTGATGGACCAGGCTAGCCTGCAGCACATGCCAGCACATGCTAAAATAGAGCTGAGTGGGTCTGTTAAGCATTATTAGGGATTGACTGGACTAGGCCATGGCACTCGCTGTTGTGCATAAGAATTGAACCTGTAGTGTGTTGGGCTGGGCCAGGCCACAGCACCTGTCAGTTTTCATGACAGATGGGGTTGGAGGCAGAACTGACCAGGCAATTGCACCCACAGGTATGGGTGTTGGCTGGTGCAGGTTACAGACCAAACCTTCACTGGCTAGTGCACACAAGAGCAAAGTCTGAGATCATTATTCCAGGCTAGGTTTCCTGCTGGACTTAAATCTCAGGCACAGGGAAATTCACAAGATATGTGGTAGAACCTTGGAGTGCATGTGTTGGGACTGGGCCTCCTCAGTTGCTGATGCCTGTGCAGCAGGTAGCATGCCTAGATACACATAGGGGACATGACAGCCAGCTCATCTAGGCCAGCAGAGAACTTCAAGTGCCTCATCAGAAGATGGAAAGCAAAACAGGTTGGACAACTCTCCTGAACAAGCTTTACAACAAGTGTCTGGGTCTGTGATGCACACTGAGGTAGAATTGGTCAGCCAACAGAGCTTGGAAAGATTTTTTCAACCCTGCAGCAAGGAAACCAACAACTTCTGATGCGGCACATTCTTCCCCATATCAGGGTCTCTCAGGTGACATCAAATGACTGTCCCTCCTGGCCTGCTGTAGTTTGACAGAAAGGAACGATCTCCTCTACCCTCATTTAACCTCCCAGCAGATCAGAATAAAAAGAAAAGATCCATGCCAGCGTGGTGGCCTAGCAGCTAAAGTCCTCGCCTTGCATGTGCCAGGATCCCATTAGGGCACAGGTTCTAACCCCGGCGATCCTGCTTCCCATCCAGCTCCTTGCTTGTGGGTTAGGAAAGCAGTTGAGGATAGCACAAAGCCTTGGGACGCTGCACCCATGTGGGAGACCTGGAAGAAGCTCCTGGCTCCTGGCTTTGGATTGGCTTAGCTCCAGACGTTGGCAATCACTTGGGGAGTGAATCACAGGATGGAAGATCTCTCTCTCTGTCTCTCCTCCTCTCTGTATATCTGCCTTCCCAATAAAAATGAGTCTTTAAAAAAACTAAATAAAAAAGAAAAGATCTGAAAGATCTGTCGACCCACCTTCCTCTACAGCTCAACCCTCCTTACCCTAGAAGGAAACCCACATGGGCATACATCCTTCTCAACTATGTAAACAATATTAAAAACGAAAAAAAAATTTTTAATGAGATAAAAAAGAATGTGATCTCAACCATAACAGTGATAACACTTACTGAGCCCTTATTTCACAAGTCCAGCATTATTTTCATTCCTTTATCTTAATCATTTTGTTTACCTTTTGCACCAATCTAGTAAGTAAAAAATTATTATGCCCATTTTACAGCCCAGGCACTGAGCATTTCAAAACTAACAAGTGCAAGGTCACACTACATGGTAGCGCATGCATGGACTTAAACCTGGGAGCGCTTATCATCTGGCAAGTGGTTCCTACTAGTAAAATGCTGCTAGTGAACTGCGACTTCGCTAACCTATTCAAGCTGTATACACCCTGAGCCTGTCTCTTCATCGGTTAAAAAAAAAAAAAAAAAACGCAGTGAGTGCTAAGGGGCCTTTCAGCTCTCCTGAGCATCACAAGACAGTGTCATTCCTCGTTTTTCCTGAAATCATCTAAAACATGTCATGGCCGGGTCCGGCCCTGGTGGGGGGACCCCAGCCCACTCACTCGCCGTGCTCCCACTTGCGGCCGTCGGCCAGCCCCCACTGTCCTCACGAGCGCACCTGACCCGCAGAGGAGACCTGTCCTCTCCGACGCCCCTCCCCGCACAAAGGAACCCCTGGGCCAGCCTCGGTTCTGGCGCACGAGTCCACTCACCCTTCAGGTGGTCTCCGCTGCAAGGCCCTCGCGGCCCCGCCGCCCCATCTCGCACGGGGGTCGTGGGCAACGCCCCCGTCTGCGGTCGTTCGACAGCTCTACCCTTCGCCATGGCCACCACAAGGCACGGAGGCGAGAGCCGGGTGATGCCGCGTCCCCTAAACAATGAAACTGCGGTGCCGGAGCGTCCGACGCGGAGCTGCCGCTGCCGAGCCCCTTCCGGCGCGGCCTCGTCCGCAGACACAACCTCGGCCCGGCGAACAGCGACCCCGCGGAGACGCGCAGCCTGACTAGGCCCCGCCCCGCGCCACCCCCCGAGCCTCGCGCGCTCGCGCCGGCCCAATAACTGTGAGCCACGTCAGGGCGCCGGCCCGCACCGCCTCACGCCGGTGGGGAGCATGCGCAGTCCCGGCACTGAGGCTGAAGGTTGAGGCTCGTTTACCCAGCCTTGCCAGGTGCAGCCAGAAGGATCCCGGAAGTGCGGGCTCGGGAACTTCAAAGCCTTTGTCCCTTTCCGGAAGTGCCTGAGAGTGATTAGTGGCTGACGATTCACATCATTCCTTTGTACGCCAATTTCACGTTGCTCTAGTGTGACGGAGCTAGAGATGCCAGAAGATGATGGACAATAGAAAACTTGATTCTTACCTACCTGCGTTTCAGGAGACTAAGAATTGACGAGCAGTTATGACCTGAAGACGTCACAGGGTGGCAGAAATGGGTTGAGAATCCGGTTTTTCTTGCTTACAAGCAAATGATTACCCTTACCCTGCTAACCCTCAGTAATAAACGCAAGTCATTACACCTGGGAAACCAGTAGAGGACAGCCCAAAGCCTTGGGACCTTGCATCCGCGCGGGAGACCGGAAAAAGCTCCTGGCTCCTGACTTCAGATCGGCTCAGCTTTGGCCATTGAGGCTACTTGGGGAGTGAATTAACAGACGAAAAGCTTTCTCTTTCTCTCTTTATGTCTGTAAATCTGCCTTTCCAATAAAATAAATCCTTTTTAAAAAAAATCATATTTACAAAGAAACTAATAATGTGGGTGATGAAAATAAAACACTCCAAGATATAACTGGAAGAGCCAATTTAAAAATATTAGAGAACATACATAAGCCTGCCCAGCACTGTGGCATTGCAGATTAAGCCTCCACCGAGTCCACCTTTTCAAATCCTAGCTAATCCACTTCAGATCCAGCTCCCTGCTTATGACCTGGGAAGGCAATGGAGGATGGCTGAAGTCCTTGGGCCCCTGCTGTTATAGCTATTCAGGAAGTGAACCAGCAGATGGAAAATGCCCCCTGTTTTTCTCCACTCTATAAATCTGCCTTTCAATTTTATATATACTTAAAAGAACAGAGACTTAGGGGCCAGTACTATAACATAGTGGGTTAATCACCCACCTGCTGAGCTGGCATTCCATATGAACACTCCATTTCCAATCCAGATCTCTGCTAATGCACCAGGGAAAGCAGCAGAAAATGGAAATGCTTAGGCCCTGCACCCACATGGCAGACCTGGAAGAAGCTCCTGGCTCCTGACTTCAACCTGGTCCAGCCCCAACCATGCTATCTCTCTCCCCTCGCACCCACCTTCCATCTCCCTTTGTAATCTGCCTTTCAAATTAATAAGATAAATCTTTAACTGGGGGGGGGGGGGTGAGGCAGATTTCTTTAAAAAAAACACACACACAATTATTTGGCTCATCGTTCCAGATACTAGAAAGTCTAACATCAAGGTGAGGGCCTTCCTAATCCATCATGACATCTCAGAGAGCAGAAAGGCAAGAGAACACACAAGAACAAAAGAAAATTATTCTTTTTTTTTTTTTTTTTTTTTTTAGGAGCAGAAGAGAAAGACAAGTGAGAGCTCCCATCCACTTATTTATTCTCAGATACCTGCCTCAGCCGTGATGCTGCCCAGTGTCTGCATTAGCAGGAAACGTGAATCAGAAGCAGTGCTGGCAATGTGAGCCCAGGTACTAGGATAGAAGATGCACACATCCTAAATGATGTCTGTTTGTTTATTTGTTTGTTTGTTTTGTAAGAGAAGTTTTTACTTGCAAAGTGACCAGGAGAATGGAAAAAGAAGGAGAATGCACCTCCCGGAAGGGATTTGGAAGATGGGGTACCTCCTGAAAGGAGAGAGGGGGAGACACCCCTAAATGCTGTCTTAACCACTAGCCAGTGTCTACTTCCCAGAAACCCTTTTTGAAAGGCAGCAGTCTTATAGCCTTGTCAGTCACCTTTTACAGGTCTCACCTCCCACACTGTTTTATTGACAATGAGATCTCAGCATGAGTTTTGGAGGGGACAAACATCGAACACTAGCAATCTCAAAGGCCAGCATGCTGCACTTTCCAGATTTTCCAAACCTTCTCACGCATTCACACAGGAGTACACCAAAAGCATGCCAAATTCACAACACTCAGATCTGCCACCAATAGCTTCCCACACAGCTTTGCTCTCTGTATTCATGATCTCTCTCTCTCTCTCTCTCTCTCTCTCTTTTTTTTTTTAGGTTTATTTATTTATTTAAAAGTCAGATATACAGAGAGGAGGAGAGACAGACAGGAAGATCTTCCATCCATTGATTCACTCCCCAAGTGAGCGCAACAGCCGATGATATGCCGATCCGAAGCCAGGAGCCAGAAACTTCTTTCCGGGTATCCCACATGGGTGCAGCATCCCAAAGCTTTGGGCTGTCCTCGACTGCTTTCCCAGGCCACAAGCAGGGAGCTGGATGAGAAGTGGAGCTGCTGGGATTAGAACCAGTGCCCATATGGGATCCCGATGCATTCAAGGTGAGGACTTTAGCTGCTAGACCACGCTGCCAGGCCCATGATCTCTTAAAATATATATATAAAAGGCAGAGTTCCAGAGAAGGAGAAAGTGAAAGATCTTCTATCTGCTAGTTCCTTCCCAAAAAGGAATCAATGGCCAGAGCTAGACACATCTGAGGCCAGGAGCCAGGAGCCCTCCCCGGTTACCCACCTGGGTACAGAGACATAAGCACTCGAGCGATCCTGTTCTTGCTGCCTTGGAAGTGGAGCAGCTGGGAACCGGCATCCATATGTGCAGGTGGAAGCTTAACATGCAGTGCCACAGTACTGGCCCCTATTCACAATCTTAGAAGATGGTACCACCAGTTTCCCTTTTTAATTCAGTAAGAAAATTAGGAATTCTCATTTAATGTTCATTAAGTTCAACTTGATGGATGAGTAAGTTCCTTGCTGATTGCCATAAATTCAGGAAAAACACCTAATCTGGAAACTATCTCCTTTCTCTATTCAGAACCCATGATCCCTCTTCTGGTCAATTTCCCAAATCACTACCAGAGTGGTCTCTAAGAGACAATCTTCTTCTTCTTTTTTTTTTTTTTTAATTGGAAAGGGAGATATACAGAGAGAAGGAGAGACAGAGAGGAAGATATTCTGTTGACTGATTAACTTCCCAAGTGGCCAAAATGGCCAAAGCTAAGCCTGTCTGAAGCCAGGAGCCCACATCCTCTTTCAGTTCTCCCATGCAGGTGCAGGGTCCCAAGGCATTGGACCATCCTCGACTGCTTTCCCAGGCCACAATCAGGGAGCTGGATGAAAGCAGGGCCACTGAGATTATAACCATTGCCCATATAGGATCCCAGCACATGCAAGGAGGGGACATTAGCCCCGAGGCTGCTGTGCCAGCCCCTATGAGACAATCTTGAAGCCCTTCATGATCTGACAAAAACTCAAATGATCTTGATAATTTTTAATCCAATATGAATAAACAGGGAAAGAAGTATATATAGTACTCTGAACATGCTACACTCACTCATCCTGTTGTGCTCTTATAATAGTGAACCGGCTACCTTACACATCTTCTCCCCAATTTCTTTATGATCAGAATGATCAGCTGGCTTAAGGGTTCTGTTAGAGGTTCAGTGGTTTGCAGTGTCCCCAGCTAATCTGTCTTAAGCAGGAGCCGCTCAAAGGAAAGCTTTATTTACTGAGATAGTGGTCTTCAGGCCCAGTTCCCTTCCAGTATGGACACTTGGAGCAGCCTACTAAGTTGTTAGTTGGGATGCTCACGTCCCATTTGGAGAGCCTGAGTGTTAGCCTTGGCTCCACTCCCAGCTTTCAACCGTGCACACCCTGGAAAGCAGCAGGTAATGGTCAGGAATATAGGTCCCCACCAGCCACACAGGAAACTTTGGATGCGATCCTGACTCAGGCTTGGCTGTTGCAGGCATTAGAGCACACAGAGGCACACAGGAGTTCTCTCCCTCCTCACTCCCATCACTCTACCTTTCAAATGGGTAAATGGATATTTGAGAGAGAGGAAAAGAGACAAGAGAGAGAAAAAATGACAAGAGAAAGACCCACTCCACAAAATAATGTACAATTTATGCTTTACTGAATTATTTGAACACATCTTCCTGCTTACTGTAAGTTCCAACCCTTTTTCAGTACCTCCCCCCAACTCTAGAATAAACACATTCTCTTCTGCTTTTTGTTTTGAGCAACAGGTCCTGGAGGTCTAGCCTTTGGGAAAGCCAGCAAAGTATTTATTTAATAAAGGTTAAGAAATGTTCCACAAATCTAAAAATTAATATTAAAATAGAAAAAATATTTATGAAAGTGTACTGTAACAAATAATGGGCATAATTTAAATTTGCAACTTGCTTCACAAACCAAAAGGGAGTTGAGAAATCAAGAAAGAAAAAACTGCCAGTACCCTAGAAAATCCCCCAGTATTTCCAATTCACTATTTATCTTCCTTGAGAGAAACCAGTGGAAAAAAATTTTTAATAGAATCAAAAAGGCCAGTTTGAGATTTCCATTCTGGCCATGACAAATAATTGGTACCAGATTGGCCCCTTACTGTAAACAACTGGAAAGCTGGGCAAAATATCTGAAACAACCATTTTTAGATAGTGAAGTGAAACATCCATCAGGGGATATGATGCTTGGAAGAGGGGAAACAAACAAACATGTTTATCAGCGGGTTTCTGTCTAAAGGCACTTCTGGACCACAGAACAAGAAGGGATGGCCCAAAGAATGCAGTGGTGTTATTGAGCTAAGAAAGAGACTGGAGCTCAAGGTTACTCATATGACTGCAAGACAGGTACAGGAACAAAGAAAAGCTTTAGACAGCAGCAGGAGCCAGGGATGTGAGTTAAGCCTGCACCTATAATGCCACCATCAGAAATGGGTTCCAGATCAAGAGGTTCAAGTACTTGCTACTACTCTTATAGTCACAAGTCCTGCTGATGTGCTTTGGAAACCAGCAGAAGATGGCCAAAGGGCTTTGTCCCCT